CTTTTAAAAACTCTGATGACAATTGCATAGAGATTTTGTGAAGAATGGAAATAGAATTCGGAATAGAAATCAAAGAAAGTTCTTATTATGAAACTTAAGGAGTATGCTGATACGAAACGTGAGAATAATTTCAATGGAATTCTGTTCAATGTTTCTATGGAGATTCATTTTTATAAAATTTTAAGAAATTTAATCGGAGTTATGCCAAAAGGCAATTTCTGGGAGACTTTGAATGCCATTTTGGCAATGTATTTGAGTACTTAGCAAATACTCAAAAGGATTTCTTAAAAAAATCTGACCTTACCTACAAAGCAGCTCAAATGGAATTATCGGATAACTCTGAGAATAGTGTGACGGTCATTCTGAAGAGTGTGCCAAGGAAATTATTAAGAATATTCTAATGAAATTTCATAGAGAAAGATGAAACAAAATTATGCCAATTCTTGGAAATTATTGCTAGTTTGAGGGAGTTGTGGAATCGGAGAGTGATTTATAAGAGATAGCAAGAGAACTCTTAGAGTGTTACTGAAAACGTTTGGATATTATCAAGATTATTTTAGGGGTATCCAGAAAAGAAGTATGATGGAATTCTAGTATGATTCAAATAGAACTCTGAAAAAAAGACGAAGATATCCTGTAAAGAGTTCCATGTAAATTCAGACTAACAAAAAGTTCCATGATCTTTGACCCAGGAAATATACAAATTCCGCTTTCAGACTTTAATTTTAGTTATATAATTATTTTATTCGTAAGGGTAATGTAAACAGTTGAGTTACCTGTAGTTTAGGTAAACTGTGTGTGAATACCACGATGTTAGGCTTTGATTTCCACTTCAGCCTGGTGAATTTTATAAAATTGCCTACTGCCTACTATGATGTCAAGAATTACATTGTCCGTTCAACCTCAGGGTAATATTAGAATTATTTAGGACTATTAAAATCTTTAACACATATTATGGTACTGCATCAAAAAGCAAGGACTACATCGACTATTGGTTTAAAAAATCCATCCCATCAAAGTTGCTTGATTCTTTGCTTTTCATTCTTTTTTTCAAGTTACAGTTTAAAAAGCAATTCTTAAAATATTTTCTGCAGTATTTTACCAACGATTTAACTTAATTTTTGAAATGCTGCGTAATGAATATTCGAACTTTTTGGGCACACTGTATCAATACTTTTCTTAATTTTTAGGCGATTTAAGCGATGTTAACAAGTTATTTATTTTATATAATTTATTTAAACATGTAATTCATAAACATTCTGGTACTTTGAATAAACTCCAGATGATCAAACTGACCGATTTTTACGGGAGATTGGCACATCACTTTGATTTCAATAGCATTATGTTAAAAACAGGATTTTTTGGAGCCTTCCAGATTTTTCCAGATTTTATAGTTTAGCTGGTCCAGATTTTTATGAAAATGACCTAGCAACGTTGCTGGCATGGCTGAAGAATAAAAAGAAATAGCAAAATATTCTACCTCTTTCTAAAAAAAAAACAATGTGTAACGGAATCAATTTTCTCGCTTCGTTGTCGTGCGCGACAGTCTGTTTGAATTCGTACTCTCATGCTCTACCGTTGTCTCTCTTACACAACACAAACAGTAGAACAACATTCGAGCAAAAAGAAAAATATCAAATAAGTATCATATGACAGGTATGATTTCGTTTTAATTCTTCAATTTGGTATAAATTAAACCATTTCTGATCATAAACGTTATTACTAGGACATCGTTGCTTGCTATTGTCAGAAATCACTTATCTTATTATGGGAAAAACTAAAATACATACATTCGTGATGGTCTTCGGCGGCAGTGTCGTATGACAGCGCCTGTCATATGGCATTTTAGTTTGGTACTGTAAGTGGAGAGCTTGTTTTGCAAGTGTCGGAAGCAAAGGCAGTCCATTATCACAGAAAATTTGTCGACTACGGGGACTGCTTACAAAACTGCTCGCAGTATCAAAGGAGCTTGTAAAATCAATATCAAGTATGATATTTTGTTAAAATATCACGCGTGATAATTTTGCCAATGACTATGCCATCACTGCATATGATTCAGTAATTTTCAAGATCCTAGCCAATAAAATCATGATCCAAGGTTTGTAAAAACTTTTAATATTCTGTGGACTTGAAAGTTTTGTGAGAACTCATGCGTGTTTTTAAAATCCTGGTCCAAGAAGAATCATAAACATACTAGGTATTTTTGTTGTTGAAATTCTGGACTTGAACAAAATGTTAGATCTCAGATGAATGTCCCTGGTTTATTCATTACTAACAGATCATTCAAGACACCCGACTTCAAAAATTGTGTATTATTACAAAGCTAAATTAAATCCAGTGTTTGACATTTCGACAAGGATGCTGACACTTTGACATTTTCCCAAAACTTGGTCCATGGAAAAAAAAGTTGAATATTGAACTTTTTTGAGATCTCAGACTCAATAAAAAGGCGACTTAAGTCATTTTGATATGCCCCCTTAGTGAAAATGTTAAATCTCACGACGAGTTAGACTAATATGCAAGAAAGATTTGCTTATGAGATGATGTGCGCACGCTCAGTAGACAGAGATAATATTGATAACGATTTTAAAGATGTCCTGCAAAATGATGGAGTACGATGTGTGTAGATGGATTTAGATGCCATTAATGAAAGCATTGATTTTTAGATGAATGATTCGCTGGAATGAGACTTTTCGAGCATCTTATGATTACGATTTCGATGACGTCCTCCTCGGCCGTTGCGTTTTCGACACAACTAACGATATTTCTCAGATATTCTTATCAGTCATTGGTTTCATTTGGGAGTGGACTTAGATGGGAAATCCACAGGACTTTATAGGGATACTCATAGAAGTTGCTAGGGGATGTCGATACGTATCAAATATTCTATCAGATCTGGAACAATGAAGGTTGCCTTAGCGCAATAGCATAGGATTAATAGGACCAGATCAATGCAATTACATTCTATTCCGTGAGTCCGACATCAAGTACATGAACTATTTTGTCTCAAAAGGGCCCCGATGCGATGGGTGGAATATCGATCAGTTCTTGTAAGGCAAGTACAAGTAAGGCCTTGTCAATAAAAAAAAAACTCTGTAGAGGGGGTTTCGTTGGGGTCAACGGTTTGCATGATGACACGAAGCAACTTGCTGTTGGGTAAGAGCCCATGGGCGGGCAGATAAGCAACAAAAACCACAGGGTCCTGCCTGCAGTAGAACTGGAGGTGCGTAGCTTATCTGGATAACAAACCATTTCCAAACCATGTGCCAAACTCATGAGATATTGCCACCGATTGGTACACTTCAGCCTACTTCGGCACGTTCGGCACCGCACTTGACACAGCTTTCGGCACAACTAAATCTCGTGGTACAGATTACGTTGTGCGGAGTTGAATATGCCTTGATATTTCAATCTAATTTGAGATCAAAATAAATTCGATTAAAATTATTGTCAAATGAAATGTATTCGAGGGTCGACCGTTTTGATGAAATTTGATGACGTCAGTAGAGAGGAACCTTTCTTTATGATTCACCTACATATTAAAAAGTGATTTTCCAACAGAATCTAATAATCTATTTAAGACTTAAACGCCATTTTCAAACCAAATGAAAGCTTTTTAAGAACACATTTCGGAAATTTTAATCAAAATTGATCGAAGTAGGCCGTATTGCTAAATTAACGTATTTTTGATTTGCTGCATGATTTTTAAATGAAAAAATTAAATTCAAATTTTAAATAATTAAAAAAGTGGAATTGTAAAAATTGTGTAGTGAAATTGAAAGTGGATTACATGACCTTGACCAAATGGAGTCCAACTCCTTTCAGTTGCTGGCAAATAGAGTTCCGGAAGACAGCAGTTTTTTTTCAACCGGCACTGACGCACAACTAAGTTATATTATAAAAAAAAAAAACAACCAATTAATTAACCACTTCATTTGAGTAATTGAAATGACGTTTACTACCACTCGAACTTTGAAATAAAACATTATTTTGAGATTGTTTTCTTCTAGAACCACAAGAAAAGCCAACATTTGTGCGTTTCATAAAAAAAAAATAGAAATTAGTTGGTCCAGTTTTGTGAAATCGCTGGTAAAAAGTCACGCCAAAACAGCTTGACAAAGTGGTCAATTGATGCTCGCGTCAATCAAGAATTGCACTTCTGCTTGATTGAAAGTTTCCATACATTATCAGTGGTTTATAAGCATCGATAACATATTGGGGCGGGCCTTATCGTGTGTACAAATAGCATCGGCATGCTTGCGTTCTTGAAAAGGGGTATTGGAACTGCGGTAGCGTTGTCACCTTCTAACTCCCAGATTCAAGTTTCTTGCACTGATAAATTAAACTATTCCCATTTTGCTTGAACTTTAATCAATTTGACATTAAACTCATTAAACTCGAATGATTAAAAATTAACACTCTCTTTCTAAAAACTAATCGTCTGATATTAAACCCAGTTTAATCATGGTTGATTAGATTGAAAATTACCTTTTTTGATTATATATTAATATTCAAAAATAATAAAATTTAATACTGGAAAGATTATTTCGAATTTAATCACGCATGACTACTGCCGAAGTAATCATGGCTCGGACTCAATAAGGTGAAGCGGGAATCTGCATACTTTTTAAGCTTTTTTGATTTAATTTATCTTTGAGAGTGCAGTCATAAGATATGATTGCAGAGAGATTTTATCCATATTGTCACTGCCAGACTGTGCGAGTTGGATTTTAAATTCATACATACAATACATACATACATTTTGAAAATAGTAATCAAATACCAATTTGAAAAATTTGGAGTTAAAAACGGAATCTTTTGGTCACAAACTTGCATTGTTACCAAAAATTGCCATGATGATTAAGCCATCAAACTCCTTTAATGATTGTGGATATTTTCTAGCACGTCAAATTCAGCATGCATTTAAACAATTGTTAACAATATTGATTATCGATCCATATGGCCGCGAGCTTAGACTAATCAACATTAATAAATCTCACCTCAAGGTCTTGGAGTCCTTGTTCCACTTGCTTCTGGTCGAACTATAGAAGTGCATATTCCTCGTCAAACCGTACACTCGAATATCGACCGGAGCCGATTTTGAACTGGCATTTCTCGAACTCATCACGATTGGCTGCAAGTAACGTAAATCAACACAATTCAAACGTTAATTCACTTCAAAACTCCCCCAACCCACTCCCGGGATGCGGGCGCCTACCCGTCGTCCTCCAATAACCGCAACACTACTGCTCCGTTTATCAGCGGAACCACCACCCTGGCACCGGCCGCAATCAGCGCTCAATTGAACAATTCCGTTGAATTGATTCGCTGCACTTTGCAGCCTGAGACACTGGTTTCGGTAGCCAAAGCTGTTCGGACGTTGGAGTCCACGGGTTATCAGCCGGTAGGACAGGTGCCACATTTCACGATTCCTAACGCCAACGTGAACGCGAAGGGTGCTGCGGACGTGTCAACAATAAGCGTCTTAGGAGACCTTTTGGGAGTAAAATTTGGCTAAAATAAAATACGTTTAAGAAAACGCGCTCGCGAAATGAAATCCAAACACTTTTCGATTGGAGCTATGTTCGCGAAATAACTGATTGTGATTATTAACAGCGTTGGCTTGCCGCTCGGCTTCCCGGCTATAAGCTGCCGGTCGCTGTGTGATGCGAGTGTATACTTTGAATAGGTTTTGCAAAATGTTTCTTGTGGAACGTTTTGCATGTGGTAGTGCTGGCAATGAACGAAAGAGAAGCGAACAGCTGGGTGCACTTATGAATTTTGCAACGTATGTAAATGAATGGTTATAGGAAAGCAGTTATATCATTGTGTTTACTAGATATTTTCTAAAATTTATTGTTGGACTCAGAACTGTATAGCGTCAAAAGAGATATTTCTAAAACAATGTAGTTGTCTTAATCCTTATTTGACACCCGCACGTTTGTACTGCACATGCGGATTAGGCACTCGAGAGATACAACAACCCGGACCTTCTAGAGTGAATGAATGAACACATTATGTGGTAGTTGTGTCTATGACTAGAAATCTGTTAAAAGTGTTGGAAGCATGATTTATTTAGTTTATGGAAAGTGTGAAATGGTTGGAATTATTCCAAAAAACAGAGTTTATTATTCCTATCATTCTTGGCTGCAATCAATTTGTCAGCCTCTCTTCACAGTAGACTTTGCTTGCCAAACAACATTACGAGTTTTACGAGGCTTCGACGTATTTTTCAAGTTCAGATCACGGCCTACGAGAAAATGATAAAACCTTAACTCTTACTTGGGTTACTTGATACTTGATGTCCAAACGAAGAATTCTTCATCTTGATGCAACTCATGATTCCGGTCCATTTAGTCCGGAGTTTGTTCACCCGAACAGCCAATTCCTAGAAGAACGGTTACCCAATGGACACCTGTGTCTGCCTGGTTGGATCGTGCACCAATTCGTCGTACGAAGATATGGGCCGTTGCGCTTCGATCGCCAAGAAAGTCATGAAGCACGGTCCCAAGTCTAAGATACCGATCAACGTTACCTCCTGATCGGAACAGATCCGTACCACCATCGAGTGCAATGGAATCGCTAAAAAGTTCAAGGAATTTGAAGACGCTGTACTGGCCAACGCTTACGGCACATGCATCGGATATTGGAACCATAAGGGCGCAACAAGAACACCATCGTGACCTCATACAACCGCAGCTTCACCGAACATAACGATGCCAACTGCACTGCTTCGTCAATAGTCCTGAACCCTCTGACCGACCAACTGACCGGTGCCGATGGTAAGAAGTTCGGTGATGAGCTGCCCCAGAAGGGATTCGACACTGGCATAGACATCAGGTTCCACCAGCGGACGGTTTCATTTAATTTTCATTTTGCAGCGTTTGGTCGGGCAATGGGAGCGCAAGTCAATCCAAAGCCGAGGATAAAGGACGGGTAATGGCTGAATAGTCTATGCGGACCACTTGAACGCCATGGGAAAAGGAAGGGATTGAAGAGGCCGGTTATTGGGGGGTTTTGAGGAAATGACACATAGTGATGCTAAATGTAAAGAAACCGAAAATCCATCTCCCATTGATTCATCCTTTCACATATATACCAAATTGATATTTTAAAGCCATAATCAAAATAAACAGACATTACATGAAAAGGCTAGTTGCCAGTTGCTTTAAAGGGCTAGTTGCCTCCCTAAGCGGACCCTCCGCATCCTAACTCTTCTGTTAATTCACTTAATGCTACTAGGCTGTCTAAATTTTCTTATTTAAGTTCGTTTGATGATTAAGATATCTCTAGTCTAATTTAATAAATAATTGAAATTTCTTATCTACCTACCATGCTTTACTAAGTACCTGTACTTGTGAATGTAATCTAAAATTTAACGTGTTTCAAGTTGTTTTTGACTTTGACCTATATTTAATATAGGGGAAAAGCTGGCTTCGGCAGCACCCCAACCTACCATCGCCAGGGGGTAAACAACGTCCCTGAGAGCTCAATTTTGGCATGTGGATACATTGTGTTTCAGAGCAACTATTGACCAAATTTGAGTGCTCCAGGACCCTGTTCACCCCCCCCCCCCCCCCGACGATAACAAGCTAAGGTATTGCCGAAGACAACCTTTCCCCTACATTAGTTCGTCCCAGGTAACACCTTCAAGTGACTAAAATGCTTCACTTTGAAGTTAGTTTCCTAGCTGATTTTTAAATTACATAGGGTATATGCTCCAACTATGCTCACACGCTTCCACTATGTCGCACCACAAAAATACGTATGGGTATGTCACAATAAAAGCACGCCACAGTGGAAATCCCGAGTCATAGTTCAAACACTTATCCCAAATCAAAATGAAGCACATATAAGATTAGTTGCAATACCATGTACAAAAATGGTGTTTAACATTTTTCCCTGAGTAATACCTCAATGAAAACAACAACGAAAGCTTTTCACGCAAGTAGAAGGAGCACTGTTGGGCACTTTCTGAAATATTTCAATAGTATGATTCCCTTGCAAACTCAAATAAATCTACCTGCATAAAACTAAATAAAATAAGAGTGATTTGCGGCAAAACCCGCCAGTATCGCACCCAACGTCAGTGCCTATACGTAAGCGTACTACAACGCGGCTTTCAAATAAAGGAGTAACAAGTGTGATACTATCACTTCAGGCTAGAACTTTGGTTCTCTTATGCAATGGTTCATCAGAGAGGGGAAGCTCAGTAATCCTCATCCCATGCTCATGACGCTATTCTGTCACGGCATGAGCCAACGATGCCGGACCTAAACCAACCGCCTCCAACGCTCCACTATGAAGCATAAGATTAGGCCCGCCCACCAACGTCCAGGTTAAAAAACTAGCCAAGGGGAGGGAGGTTCCACCAGCGGACGGTTTCAAAGTCGAAATACCTACTTTTAAACAACACAGATTAGGATACCAAAGAATTCGTCAGTTATTAAGTAGAAATACACCGCCAGATTCTAATTCATCACCGTTTTCTAATCTACCGCCGAGTGCCGAGTGCTGCAGATGGCTACTGAAAGCATCAACGTAACTTCATTATCGCATGTTGTTAAGGTTCCTAAATACACAAGCGGGCCTGATTCAACCGACGATACATACTAGATTTTGGTTTGCTGCCTTGAGATGCACAAAAACATGACTATACCGGGCCGGCGCCGCACAGTGGGACTAAATCAAAAAAGTGGGATACGGCCTTTTGCGACGAAACTGTTGAGTGTAGCATTTTGATGTCTTGCAGAATGTGTCTTCAATTTTTGAGTACTTTATTTGAGTAGTGAAAATGTTTGCTTAAGGGGGGTATACACTCAGATAAAAAAATATGTCTTGTTAAAAATGATGAACACCTAAAGCCCTGTTAATCTCAAATTGGTACGCTTTCAATCGGATGTATCTCAGAATCTATTTGGTTTAGAAAAAAATGTTATTAGAAGAAAATGTTATGAATTTATTTTATTCCTCTCGAATGAAAATTCAAACTTTGGGCTTGTTACGTGCCATCAACTACACACGTAGAAATTATCGCCGACTTCGGTAATTTTTACCGAAATCTGAATAGCTGAACTTTTCGGTAAAATTTATGCAATTCAATTCAATTGCTTTTCAGCTACTTTGGAACTAAATTCTCCACTAAAATGACAAGATTTGATCATTTAAACAAGGTTGAACATGTTTTGATATTATTTTCAAATTCAATAGCCTTTAAAATTAAGGTCAAAGTTTTACCGAACGTTCAGCTGTTCTGATTTCGGTAAAATTTACCGAGCACGAAAACAAAATCTTAGTGTGTACATTTTGATTGGGTGGAAATCCGGGCAGTTTGGGGGGTTCATCCCGTTCTCAATGACGTCTACTCCATTATCGCGATACCACTGTTGCGCATTCTTACTGTAGTCGCAACTTGCCAAATCTGGCCAAAACTTGACGGGTGGGACCTAATAAACGGCAATATACATTTTTCAGGCTTTCGTTGATGTATAACCACAGACAAACAGACATAACACTCACAAGTTGTTCATCGAACAAGCATTTAACGGTCAATTTAAAAATATCTCAGTTGGTAGTACTGCCATAGAGGTAACTCTAAGACCACTGGGTCCCGAAGAAAATCATTATTATTTTTGGCTCACTCAGTACCAGAACAACGGTCCCAAGCAGTCCCAAGCTATTTCACTCACCCCTGCATGTTCTGCATGAATCCACACACCCCTGATGTTATCTGTCAAACTTTCATAGCGAATCAAAACAAACATAGTGTAGTAATAGAATTTCAACTAGAATAGGGTACGTTAATCGTTTGCTTGGGACCAATAGGCTACTAAAGTGGTGAGCCAATTTGAAATCGTTAGTTTCGTATTGATTGTTGGTACTGCCACCTGTGGCGCGCATTGTCAATTCCCTCGCGTTTGACGTTTACACACTAGCGCCATCTGTTCAGCGTACTACCCACCACAGTGTACTCAACAGATGGCGGTAATGTTTTATCGACGATGTTTTACAATGAGAAATATTCAATGTGTTATGTCTGTTTGTCTGTGGTATAACTGTCCGTTCATATGGTTGGTTGTGATGAAAATCGGTGTCTTCTGGCGGTGTCTGGCAGATTATATTTATATTTTGAAACTAATGTTCTGCCCGACAACAACTCAGCAGCACGAGACTCCTTGAACTGTGTTTCAGAGTCGGAGCACTATTGGGCAAACTGGAGGGGCTACGTGGACGAAAAGGCACTCAAGCTTTCAAATGATCTGAAACACAGCGCGGATCAACTTAAACACTGTTTTTTTTCAATTAACGATAGTGTGGATTGTGTGGTGTTGTGATCTATTTTCTGGCACATACCCTTGACGACGATCGCGACTACGACGACTGCAGTCCAGCGAGCGCTCGCTGCGGTTCCAGAATGATTCTTTCGATGGCGGACGATTAAAGGCCGATCTTGTACCACCGCTCGGTGAAATTCGCACTGGCGGGTTGGTTTTACCGGGGCTGGTATAGCGGTGTGTGGAGATGGTTCCGATGCACAGGCGCTTCCTTCTGACGAAGCCGGCCGACGACGGCAAGGCCGCCCTCTGTCGAACCGGGAAGGGAAATTCTCCTTGGCGTTTAGGGCCTTCAGTCCGA